AGTCCTCGCACAGAAGCCTCCTACCTTCCGCATGTGCGTGGACTACACTGATCTCAACAAGGCGTGCCCTATGGACCCTTTTCCTTTGCCCAATATCGATCAACTTGTAGATGAGATCGCGGGGTGTGAAATCATGTCATTCCTCGACGCATTCCGCGGGTATCATCAGATCTTCATGCATGAGGAAGACGCCGAAAAGACAGCCTTCATGACTCCCGAGGGCATCTTCTGCTACCTAGTGATGGCCTTCGGCCTAAAGAACTCAGGGGCCACTTACACCCGGATGGTGGCCCGAGTCTTTCAGGCCGTCCTAGGGCGCACCATGGAGGCCTATGTTGACGACATGATCGTCAAAAGCAAACAATCTTCCAGCCATGCCGACGACCTCCGAGAAATCTTCGCCATCATGCAAAAGTTCAACCTTCGGCTAAACCCGAAGAAGTGCACCTTCGGCGTCCAAGGGGGCAAATTCTTAGGCTACATGGTCAGCCGAAGGGGTATTGAGGCCAATCCCGAGAAGATCCAGGCCATCATCAACATGGAGCCCCCACGCAATGTGAAGGAAGTTCAACGGTTGACGGGCCGCCTGGCAGCCCTCAACCGCTTTCTATCTAAATCAGCGGAGAAGTCTCTACCCTTCTTCCAGATCATGAGGAAGACGGTTGTCTTTCAATGGACTACAGAATGCCAGGGGGCTTTCGACGAGCTCAAACGATATCTATCTTCACCCCCTGTGCTCTCCAAACCAAAGGTAGGGGAGACCCTCTATCTCTACCTTGGGGTCAACCCGGCAGCCATCAGCTTCGTGCTCATCCGGGAGGAAGACGGCATCCAACATGCCATCTTCTATGTAAGCAAGACCCTAAGGGAGGCCGAGCTCAGATACTCTCATGTGGAAAAAACGATGTTAGCCATCGTTTGGACCGTCAAGAAGTTGGGCCACTACTTTTAGGCTCACCCGGTTCATGTCCTCACTCATCAACCCCTCGGCGCCCTCATGAGGAGCCCCACCAGTTCCTCCCGCATGGTGAAATGGGCTATCTTCCTGAGCCAGTACAACATTGACATCCGTCCGAGGCCTGCCATCAAGGGTCAAGCCCTGGCGGACTTTGTGACGGAGTGTACCGCAAGGACGGCCACGGACGGGGAGCCCTCGGCTACCTCGGACGACTGGTGGACCCTCTACACCGACGGCTCCTCCGCAACCAAAGCATGCGGGGGAGGGGTAGTCCTCATTACTCCCGAGGGCTTCAAAGCCTACTATGCAATCCGCTTCTCCTTCAAAGTCTCCAACAACGAGGCCGAGTATGAGGCCCTCCTATGTGGCCTTCGGCTGGCTGCCAACATGAAGGCTAGGCAGATCCATATCAAATGCGACTCCAAGTTGGTCGTTGGCCAAATCTCCGAGGAATATGAGGCCAAGGAGGGAAGAATGAAACAGTACAAGGAGGCGGCCAAGGAGTTGCTGAAGGTGTTTGAGGCACACTCTCTCACTCAAATACCGAGGGCTCAGAATTCCGAGGCCGACATACTATCTAAGCTCTCGGCCGACTCCCCCGAGCACATCTCTAAGATTGCTAAAATTGAGGAACTCAGTCTCTCGAGTATCCATGCGAGCCCCGTCATGAACTTACAACAACGCCAAGAGGACTGGATCTCAGATATCATCACCTTCATCTCAGTCGGGCAGCTACCCGAAGACGAGACCCGCGCTAAACTAGCAAAGCTGAGGGCTCCTAGCTACACCATCGAAGACGGAAGGCTCTACAAACGGTCTTACAACGGCACGCTACTTCGGTGCCTTCATCAAGATGAAGCCGAGGTCGCAATGGAGGAGGTGTACAGTGGCACTTGCTCAGCTCACCAGGGACCCTTCTCCATGTCCCGAAGGCTCATTCTCCAGGGCTACTTCTGACCGACCATGGCCAGGGATTGTGCTGACCTTGCCCGAAGGTGCACCGCATGCCAACATTTCCAGAAAGCCCCCGGCAGGCCAGCGGTCAACTATGCCCCCATCAGCACATTCGTCCCCTTTTCTCGATGGGGGATAGACCTTGTGAGCCCTCTGCCGAGGGGTACCTCCAACAACAGGTACATCATTGTGGCCATCGACTACTTTACCAAGTGGGTGGAGGCTGAGCCCCTCGCCAGTATCACAGAGGCGAAGTGCCGTCACTTCGTCCTCAAGAACATCCTCACAAGGTTTGGCGTCCCCCAGCAGATCATCTCCGACAATGGGACACAATTTGAGGCAGCCCCCTTCTGTGCCCTTCTGGAGGCATGGGGCATCAAACACACCTTCTCCTCCGTTGCCTACCCTCAAGGCAACGGGCAAGTAGAGAACGCCAACCGGACCTTGCTCGAGGGCCTCAAAAAGAAGCTGGAGGCCGAGGGCGGTGGCTGGGTAGAAGAACTCCACAACATCCTTTGGGCCTACCGCACCACTCCTCGGCGGGCAACAGGCGAAACACCCTTCTCCCTCTGCTACGGGTTTGAAGCCAAAGCTCCTACGGAAGTCACCCTTCCCACCCGGAGGGTGATCCAATATGACCCCGAGGTCAACGACAACAACATGGCCCTCGACCTCCACCTCCTTTCAGAACGCCGGGAGCAAGCCTTCATCCGGGCAGAAAACTACCGAAGGCAAGTCAAAGGCTACATCGACGCCAAGGTTCGCACCCGAGAATTCCAAGTGGGGGACTATGTCCTCCGGAGGAGGGAAGCCAGCCAACCAACCGAGGGAGGCAAAATGGCACCAAAGTTCGAGGGCCCCTACATCATAGCAGCCATCATCAAACCTGGGACTTACAAGCTCAAACGCCCCAACGGGAAAGAAGTCCCTAGGCACTGGAATGTACACCACTTAGTTAAATTTTATCAATAATGTAAGAGCGGCCAAGCCCTCATAACTAGTGAATGTACTATCCTATGGCCCAAGGCCTCCAATTTTGAAGAATGAAGACACGTTCAAGACACCAAGAACAACCGCAAAACACTTATGAGTGGCCAAGCCCTCATACCAACTACAGGCCCCAGGCCTCACCACGAGAAGAACCCCTCCGGCACCAAGTGCCGAGGGCGGACACCATCAACACCCTCAACAACAGTGAAGACACCAAGTGTTTCAAACAAAACCCCTCGGTACCAAGTACCGAAGGTGGGGACCCCCATCCCTGGCAACAGGAAACACCAAGTGTTTCATTTCAAGACCCTTCGGCACCCAGTGTCGGGGGTACACATCTCACCCATCAACGTCAAATAGAAGAAGAACACTGAGTGTTCCTACAGAAGACCCCTCGGTACCAAGTACCGGGGGGCTACATATCGAAACTAACACCAGGTGTTGTTTCTAAAAGCCGTACCCCACGAGGACGCACATACCGAAGGCGCCACCATCGGTGCCGGCGACACGTAGTGCCCCCAGCCATTTGCAACTAGTGTGCAAATGAAACCCTTCCTTGAAACGCTTTCCGCGTCACTACCCCAGGGTGTGACAGGCATAAGAAATGCCCAGGATTCGACTTTCAAAAACGGAACGCTTTCCGCGTCATCACCCCAAGGGTATGACAGGCACGAGAAATGCCCAGGATTCGACTTCCAAACCGAAACGCTCCCCGCGCTACCACCCCAAGGGTGTGGCAGGCCACGGACTATGTCTAGCGCCGAGGGGACGACTTTCAAAACTGAGGCACTTTCCGCGCCATCCCCCAAGGGGAGGCAGGTTACAGACCACCATATCTTGTGCCCAGGAAACGACCCTCGATCCCCTCGGAACTCGAAAGGTTAACCCAAGGGAGGAGAGCAATTGGTGTATTCTGATGGTCTCCTGATAGGCCCAGCCTTACCAAGAAACCAAGTTTCTTGATGCCTTCCCTTCACCACCAACCAAAAAAAAAGAGGGGGTGAAGGGGAGTAGACTCATCGAGAAATCAGTGGGTACAACACTCCAACAAATCACAACATACCGAGGGCTCCCTACGGGAACACCTCCGGTAACTGAAGGCTCCTATTTCCCGAAGGTTACTACTCAACAATACAAAGGGATAAGTTCACTTCTAATAAGTGCCGAGGGCACCTACCATCGGTCATCCATTGCTGCCGAGGGGTCCTATCCTGTAAAAGGGGATGCAACTGACTAAGGCAGCTCAGGAACCCTTCAAATGAATGCCGAGGGCACCTATATCCCACCAGCATTCACTACAACATCAATATCCTACAAATTTTCCGAAGTCCACACTTTTGAAAAAATGACAACAGCCGGAGGCTCACATATCACCCAACGACCGAAGGCATCTATTACAAATCATCAAAGGCCAACCAAGGGGGATTATTCCAAAATAACGTCGCCCCCGGGAAATCTCAATGGGAAAACACTACTAATCGAAGGCTACACAAGGAAGCAACACTTAGAAAATTTTCTAAGTCCTGAAGATTGGGCCCTCGGCCTGATCAATATTTCAACTGAGGAACCATGATAGCCGGAGGCTACGAGATGCAACGGCACTTAGAAAATTTCCTAAGTCCTACATATTTTTCCCTCGGTCAAACTACTTATACATCAAGGAGAAGGCTATCACCCCGGAGCCGAGGGCTACTTGACACCATGCATTTGGAAGTAAGGCTAAGTCCTGAATATTTGGCCCTCGGCCAAATATCCACGCAACAGGAAGGTTCACCCAGTGATTCGAGGGCTCCTATCAGGACCACTCGGGGGCTCAACATCTGAGATACTCGTCCTAAATATTCTCCCCTCGGACAGACTCCTCACTGACCGAAGGTTCAACATCTACAACACACTTAGAAAATTTTCTAAGTCCTATATATTGGGCCCTCGGTCCAATATTCACACATCAGGAAGGAGGCTACCAGCCGAGGGCTTCCAAGGGCAAACTACACTTAGAAATTTTTCTAAGTCCTAAGGATTGGGTTCTCAACCTAATCATCTCACAGCAATTGAACTACAAACACCCGAAGGCCCTATGGTGGGCTACGCTTAGAAAAATTTTCTAAGTCCTAAACGTACATTCAAGAGAAAACGACGGCATACATTCGAGAGGAAATAAGTTAAAGAAAACAAGTCAAATACGCAAGGCCCGAGGGCTAACATTCATCCATCAAAAAGAAGAGTAATGTAATTGTTACAACGATGGCTAGGGTCGGAAGCATACAAATGTGACCATTACAAAGTAAGTCCCAAATATTTACTAAGTACAAATTACAAATCAACAACATCATTCCCGGAGGCGTCCTCTACTACAGGCTTAGACGCGGCATCATCCCCGGTTTCTTCCTCTTCGTCACTGCCCTCGGCCATCAGCATGGAGTCTTCCAAATCAGGCCTCGCAACACCTTCAGGGAGGGGAACCCTGGGGTTTGGCTGGAGGGGAGGGAGACCATAGGATGCCGGATCGAAGGCCTTCGGGTCCACCCCGAGATGCCGGGACAACCTTCGATATACAAGGGCCTGAGTAAAGTACTCACCCCCGTCATAATACTCTTTCCCCTTTCGGGCCAGCCACATTGCGCCTGGGCCTTTCACCCATTCGTTCACCGAAGCCTCCACCACCGAAGCCACCCATTCCTGCCGGCCTTCGGCTTTCCATCCCTCCTCAGCAAAAGCGGCAACAACATCCTCCCGGGCTTCGGTGACGGCTTTGATCTGGGCCTCCTCGGCATCCTTCGCGGCCTTCTTGGCAGCATCGGCCGCAGCCTTCTCCGCCTCTGCCTTGCCTTCGGCCCTGGCCACCGTCTAGGAGCTCTCGAGGATTTCATTAAAATCCTCTTGCTCAACTTTGCGAGCTTCCTCGGCCTCTTTGAGCTGCCTTCGGGCCTCAGCCAATGCTTCATCAGCTTTCTTCTTCTCCGAATCATACTGCTCTATCCTCTGGGCCAGCTCGCCAAGGCCAAGGCTTGCCTGAAAGCAAACATAAATTACCGGAGGTTAAGTCACTACACACGTAAAGAATTAAGTTACCTGCAAAAGAGAAGGAATGAACCTTACCGTAACCGAGGCCATCAGAACCTTAGAGCAGAGGACATCGTCGGCTTGGCGGGAGAGCACAGACTTATCGGTCGGAGGGGTGGCACCCCTCAAAAATTCCTTCGGGTTCAGGGTCCCGTGCATGATAGCAGTCCCCTTCGTGATGGAGAATTGGATTTTGTCCTGGGGCCATGTCAGACCAGTGGCTTGACCCGAAGGCTTGGGGGGAGAAGATTCATCTACGACCACAACGGAGGCTTCCTTCAACTCCGGGGCCCCCTTCTTCTTCTTCTTCCCCTCCGGTTGTGCCGGGTCTTTCCCAAGTCTTTTCCTCTTCGGCTCCAGACCGGGGGAGCCTCCGACGGTGGTCTCCGTGACGGGCCCTACCTCCTTGGCCTCTTCGGCTGCTCCTGCCTTAGGGAATATCTCGTCGACCGCCCTCTGCTGTGCGGGGGCCTCCTTCTTCTGGTCTTCCTTGGCGAGTTGCCTCTTCAGCTTGACAAGGTTCCGGGCGTCCATATCTGGTCCTGAAACACAAGAAGGCACACAAAGGTTAGTTTACTACTACAACAAAGCAAAAAAAAAATTCTAAGTATGAAAATTAAAGCCCTCGGCATTGCAACAACCTTCGGCGCTCTCATATACGTGATCAATCGTGGGGTAGCCTTCCTCTTTCTCCCCCATCAGCCGGTACCGACGGAAGCCAAGCTTGTACAACTCACTGGAGAGCGTTGCGCCTTTGATGGACACGTGCTTATCAGACCCCTCCGGTTTCTTGGACAACACCCGCCCATTTTTCTCGAGGGCATACCCTTCTGCCTTCAGGTGCCGCCGAAACCTATCACCAAGCGGAGCGGAGAAAGGGTTCTCAGCCAGACGGATGTAGCAGAACTTGTCTTTCCACCCCTTGTGAGACGAAGGCGCCTCGTCGAAAATCCTGAACTTCGGGAGCTGCTACAAATTACCATAGCCCCCGGCATTCGAATCACTCCCCCGACACAAGTTGAACGACAGAAAGAATTGCTCCAGAGTAGGGGGACCTTGCGGCTGAGGCACAGCGACAGGAACCCTGCCAGGTATGAGTGACTGTTCGGGGTCAACTGGAAGGGGGCTAGCTTGACGAAGCGTAGGTATTCCAACACGAAGGGATGAAGGGGAAATCTGAGACCCAGCTCCACTGAAAGCAGATGTACGGCAAAACAGCCCTCGGGGGCACGGAGGAGCACATCATCCGGCTTTGGCTCTACCACCTGCGCCGAAGGTCCAACCAAAAATTGTGCCGCCATCATCTCCCCTCGGGTAGCTTTGTTTTTGACCTCCAAGGCGGCCGTATTCAGGAAAGAATAGCCCTCGGGCAGTCCCACTGGCTGGCCAGCGTCGACGGCAGCTTGCTTCTTCTTCGGAGCCGTCCTCGTCTTCTTTCTCTTCTTCCCTGGGGCCACACTGAGGGGTACGGCGTCAAGAGGCCGGGAGCTCCCAGCTTCGGTATCACAAAGAGGAGGAGGGATAGCTACAGTCACCTTCAGGCCCTCCTTCTGGGCCTCGTCCTCGGCCACCTGACAGGCGATGGCAAGCTCTTCATCCACGTTCACCTGCTCGAAGTCTTCGGCCTCGAGTTCAAGCCGAAGGTCACCCTGTATCGCCTCGGCTACGGCCCTGTCGGCGATGACTGAGAGCTGCTCGCTTGAGGATTCCACGTCAGATGCCACTTCGATGTTCACTGAAGCCTCCCCGGAGATGTCTTGGGAATCACTAGCTGACGACATTACTTCTAAAAGGCGAGGGGTCGGAAAATTCGTACACAGAAGGGTTCCTGAAGGGTCCTAAAGCCTAACCCTAAGGCCAAAAGCTAAGTACTCAAATAGAGCTAAGGACAGAAGGAGAACTAACCTCTGAGACTTGGTTTGACTGAAGGTCGGAGTTTCTCTCTCTAGAAATTTTGGCAGAGCTTCGCTAACGGTATGATCGCACAAAGGCGAATGGCCTTGGCTGGGGGTATTTATAGGCGCCCAGATCCGGGCTTGGGCCAAAAAAAACCGGGGCCCCGGCAAAAGGTCATCATTACACGCCGCGTCTTCGCCCAACCGGTGACGCCGCCCACGGGCAGCCAACCATCACGCGCCACGTGTACTCCCCCTCCAACGGTCACATTACAACGGCTATATTCTGGGAGCCCCCGGATTTTCTGATTTCACTCCACTTCATCAAGAAGAACCTCCGGGTACACTTACCCAGAGACGCCCCCGGGTTGTGCCCCACACAGTACATAACAGTCGCCTTCGGGATCACTCCTTCAGAAGCCCAAGGCTTCATATAAGGCCACCCCTCGGGGATTCCCCCTCAGCACTGTAAGGGCCGGGTAGCCCCCGGGGAGTATGCCTCATTGACGGATAGCCTACAGCACACAGGTAATGGGAGCCCTCAGAGATCCTCATCACCAACTAATCAGCAAGCAGGGGACACCCCGGTGACAATTCAACTACTGCCCTCATCCATCACGCCCCTGATCCCCAGATTGAGGGGCTTCCCTTCGGCACCTCCCACGACATCAACAGCAAGCCCCCGGCTACTCAACACATGAGCCCTCAGAACAAGGAGAGCCTTCGGCATTACCATTATTCTCCATTTTGAGCCAAGGTTTCACATTTTCGATTCATCATTGGGGGAATTCGGTGCACTCTTTTTCCCTCATTAGGATTTTTTCCCACAGGGTTTTTCCTAATGAGGTTTTTAACGAGGCATCCCCCCAAAATGAAACGAAAAGCGTCAGCCTTCGGCCCACAACAGCAACGCAACTACTTCACTCCTTTTCACCACTTTACAAGTGCCTCAAGGAGTGGGGGACTGGAGGACGCCCTCGGGAAAATCATTAAATTATAAAATGGTGAAAAATTCCAACAAACGGCAAAGCAATCCCTCAAGTCCCGACATGTGGGTAACTGAGGGACTGCCTTCGGCAGGGACATGAAAACAACAACTCCTCACCAACTTCAGAGATTACGACGGGACAACATCAAAGGGCAAGCACAAATTACTCCTTTTCCCTCAAGTACCTTTCGACAAAAGGAGTGAGGGACTCCTGATGGAGTATATGGCCCGGGAACCTCCGGCCCACAGACTGCTACTACTCCAAACAAGGCCCAACAGGCCCAACAGGCCCAAATCACAGCTCCCAAAGCACTTAGCAGCCCACAGCGCACACTGGGGAGCCTTCGCCCCCCTGGCCGAAGGCTCAAAATTCTCACAGAACGTGTTTTCAGGCAAATTAAGAAACTGGGAGAAAAACGGCAGAAAACAGTAGCCCTCGGCACCTGGAGCCCTCGGCACCCAGGGGGTCCCCGGCACTCAGAGCCCTCGGCTAGTCCTCTGCAGCCGAGGGCACCTCTCCCGACATAATATCCGCGCCACATGCATACAGATCACTGTACCCTGTACAAACGTCCCATCCAACAACCGCATTAAATGCGGCCACATGCGGCTTCCAGCGCCAACCAGTTGAGATGACCTCTCGGCCAATGGGCGCTTGACACGTGTCCCTGTCCGGCATTTATTGCTACTATAAATAGCACCCCATTTCCCCATTTGTAACCAAGTCGTAACACATTGATAAACGCTGCATACTTTTTAAATACACTTTCTCTCTCTATACTTACTTGCTCTAACTTCTCTCTTATTACTCCCCGTAATAACCCCTCGGATAAGCTACCCCCTGGGTACACTATCCATCAAAACCCTAGGAAATCTTTCTCAAGGTTTTCGTAGTATAACTGATTACTACAATTCTTTCAAAGAAATTTGGGATGAATACTGTAATTTCAGAATTATTCCTTCTTGCACTTGTGGTCAATGCACTTGCAATATATCTGAAACCTATCAAAACATTATCCAGAAAGAGTCTATTCTCAAGTTTCTTGTTGGTTTGAATGATTCTTATTCTAATCTGAGAAGCCAAATTCTTCTTAACACAGAAAAAACTACTCTGTCTAGTATCTACTCTATTCTTCTGCAAGAAAAGTCTCAAAGATCTCTTCAGAATACTCTTCCTTTCACTACTTCTTTTTCAGAACCTTCTGCTTCTGAAAAGCTTAACAATGATGTTACTGCTTTCTTTGTCAAAAATTTTAAAAAGAAAAGTTCTGTTACTTGTACTCACTGTGGCTATCAAGGCCATTCATCTGATAAATGTTTCCAACTCATTGGTTATCCTAGTAATTGGAAAGGGCCAAAAGGACAGAGAACTGCTCCTGGTTTTAAACCAAATCCCAATCTTAATAAAAATCATCATGCTCATTTGGCTACTAATTCCACTGAACCTGTTATAACTCCTACCAATTCAAACAACAATCATCATGCTCATTTGGCTACAAATTACACTGAATCTGCTCCTACTTCTATCAATTCCATTTCTACTACCACTGATTTCTGTGATCCCAATCTGTATGAGAAGTTTCTGCAATTTGTTCAAGCTCAACAATCTAAAACTGCTTCAGCTAATGTTGTCACCATTGCTCCTGATGATGACCAAACTGCTTCTTACTGTGACACAAACTTTTTAGGTAAACACTTTGCTCTTTCAACTTTTCAATCATCTCAATGGATTCTTGACACTGGAGCATCTGACCATATGGTTTATGATGCTTCATTATACACCACTCCAACTAAACACATTTCAATTAAAATTCAACTTCCTACTGGTAATTTTATTTCTGCTACTAAAATTGGTGATATCAAATTGAATTCTAATCTTACATTACACAATGTTTTATATGTTCCTAATTTTACTTTTAATCTCATTTCTATTTCCAGTTTAACTTCTCATGATAATATCTCAGTCTATTTCTCTTCTAACCATGCTATCTTGCAGGACCACCTTACCAGCAAAACGATTGGCTTTGCTGATTTAAGGAATGGCCTATACCACTATACTCCAGACTCATCTTTAGCTCATCATACTCCTACTGTGCATTCTGCTAATAGTCAGCATAATACTTCATCTGCTACTCTTTGGCATTTTAGACTAGGGCATCTTCCTTTTACTAAAATTTACATGCTTTCTGATTGTAATGTTTCTGATAATGACAAACAGTCTTTACCTTGTGATATTTGCCATTTTGCTAAACAAAAAAAGCTTCCTTTTCCTATCAGTACTTCTCATGCTTCTAATGCTTTTGATTTGATACATATGGATGTTTGGGGTCCTTATAAAGTTACTTCTTACACTGGTTTTAAATATTTTTTAACTATTGTTGATGATTACACTAGATGTACTTGGGTTTTTCTACTTAAAACTAAATCTGAGGTAAGATTTCATATGTTAAATTTCTATACTTTTATTGAAACTCAATTTCAAAAGAAAATTAAAATCATAAGAACTGACAATGGTACTGAATTCTTCTTTCCTGATTTTTATAATTCAAAAGGTATTGTTCATCAACTATCATGTGTTGAAACTCCTCAACAAAATGGTAGGGTTGAAAGAAAACATCAACACATTTTACAAATTGCTAGATCTCTTCTTTTTCAATCTTGTTACCTATCACTTTTTGGTCTGATTGTATACTTAGTGTTGTGCATATAATCAACAGATTACCCACTTCTATTCTTCATAACAAATCTCCTTTTGAAATGCTTTATAATCATGCTCCAGATTATAATCATTTAAAGGTTTTTGGTTGTTTGGCTTTTGCTTCAACTATTTTTTTTTTAAACCCGGAAGGCAAACCACCAAAATCAGTGGGGTAAATGCCGGGGAACATTTACCGTATTTTATTAAAAATAGTGAGATACAAAGAAGAAAGGGGGACTAGGCCAAAACCTTTCCGGGGAAGACATCCTTCCCAAAAAACACCAGAGACAAAATAAACACAAAATCTGATGGGGGGGCTCGACCTGACCCATCAGAAGAAATAAAACTAAACAAGCCATCTAATATAAGGAATATTGAAAAAATCAAAATTGAATTCAATTCGGACTGGGCTAGGCAACAAATTAACCGCAGTCCAAGACATGAAATGGGTCGGATGTAGTGCTGCAAGATAATGGGCTGGCCTATTACCTTCTCTAAAAATGTGTCTGAACCTGACCCCTTTCCTGAAGCAGAGCTGTCTGAACGAAACAACTTCCTCAGACCTAGCAACGTTGAATCCATCTGAAAGGAAGCTAAGAACAGCTTCAACGTCGATCTCCACCTGAAAATCCCTATGGCCATTACTAATCACCCATCGTGTAGCCGTCATCGCCACGTTTAGCTCCGCATCAAAAGACGAAGAAGCAGAAATCAGAAAAGCAATGGCACATACCAATTCTCCCCTGTGATACCTCAAAATCGCACCACCCGAGGCCGAATCTGGTATGTAAGCTGCATCAATATTCAACTTCAATCCTCTGTTAGGTTTCAACCAACTGATGGGTTTTAACAGTCTATGTTTAAGCTTAAAACCCTGAGGAATAAGTCGTTCTTCGTATAAAATGGTATCTATTTTGCCCAATTTCTGATTCGAAAGACTTAAAACCCAATTCTGAGTATAGAGTTTAATTTGCCAGATAGTGTAAGCAAAATTAGGCGTCCTAGATCCAGTGCCCCAAATTTGATCAGTATAAACCTTCCAAATGTTCCAACATATAATTCCAGGAAGGTTGTGTTTGAACAAGTCAATTAGGTTTTTACTACCAGCCTCAAACCACCAAATCAGAAAGATGTTACGAATATAAGAGCAATGAGAAGGCATAGGAATGGACATTATCTGAGCAAAATATGACCAAATAGCTTTAGAGAAGTCACATTCCAGGAAAATGTGAATAGTAGAATCATCATCATTCCTACAAAGAGGACAAATAGAAGGTTGTATGATCCTCCTAAAATGAATCAACTTGTCAGTAATAGGTAAAACCCCTTTGAAAAGCCTCCATTGAAAAATTTTGATTTTAGGTTGTTGCTGTGGATGCCATAGCTGTTTAAATGCATAAGAGGAACCCAAAGAATGCCTAATAGCATGATAGGCAGATTTAAGAGTAAACTGACCATTTTTTGTATCTTTCCAGGTGAACTGATTGTCTGAGGAGTCTATTAAACAAGTAGCCAGATCATTAACCAAACAGAGTCTTCTCCAAATGGGTGAGTCCGCAATTTTAATCCTCATATCCCCCTCCCTAGGATATCTAGCTTTCATGAACTCAGACCAAAAACAGGAAGAAGTCTTCCATTTCCACCACATTTTAAGTGAAAAAGCTCTTTCAACATCTTTAAGTGATCTAATATCCAAACCCCCTTCTTCTTTGGGATAGCTAATTTTCTTCCAACTGACCCAATGATATTTGGGTCTATAATTAGAAGTACCCCATAAAAAATTAGCCATTCTAGGGCACATAAATGCATCTTTATTGGCTATTCTTTAGGTTCTAAAGGATACAAATTATATGATTTAACTACTCATAAAACTTTTATTTCTAGAAATGTTAAGTTCTATGAAATGATTTTTCCATATAAGACTCAACATACTAAAAATAATTTTGATTCAGATTTCACAAATACACAAAATAATCATATTTTTAATGACTACTTAAACAATCTCACTAATTCTGTTACTCAAAATTCAAATGATTCTAATAATACTCTCACAAATTACTTGGACACTCAAATCAATGAGGAGGTAAATTTGTTTCATTCTGATAATAATAACTCTATTGCTAATGATTCTTCTAGTTTGTTGAACACAGAAACTTCTCAGGTTCATGACAGCATTTTTGAACAAAATACTCAAAGAAAATCTACTAGAGTAAGATCCATTCCAATTCATTTAAGAGATTTTGCTTATGATCTACCTAATTCTATCATTCCAGGTAATCCTGAATCTTCTTGTAATATGGTTACATATCCTATTCAAAATTACATTTCTTATAACAAATTAAATATTTCTCATCACTGTTTCATTGCATCTCTTTCTAAGATTCCAGAACCAAAAACTTACAAACAAGCTGTTAAATTTTCAGAATGGCAAAATGCTATGAATGATGAAATTAAAGCCCTTGAGAATAATAATACTTGGATTCTTGTTGATCTTCTTGCTAATCAACATACTATTGGTTGCAAATGGGTTTTTAAAACAAAACTTAAATCTGATGGTTCTCTTGATAGATATAAAGCTAGACTTGTAGCAAAAGGTTACACTCAAGAAGAAGGCCTTGATTACTTTGATACTTTCTCTCAAGTTGTAAAGTTTACCACTGTAAGAATTCTTTTAGCTATTGCCAGCTCTAAAAACTGGTACTTACATCAATTAGATGTAAATAATGCTTTTTTACATGGTGATTTGAATGAAAACATTTATATGCAACCCCCTCCTGGTTATTTACAAAGTAATGATACTAGAGTTTGTAAACTTCTTAAAAGCTTATATGGTTTAAAACAAGCATCTAGACAATGGTATTTTAAACTTTCTGAATCTTTAAAATCTTTTGGTTATAATCAATCTTAGGCAGATTTCTCTCTTTTCACTAAAGTTATTAAAACCTCTTTTACTGCAATATTACTTTATGTTGATGATCTTATTCTTGTTGGAAATGATATGAATGAAATTAATGCTGTTAAATCTTTTCTACATCATAAATTTACTATTAAAGATCTTGGTGAATTGAAATACATTTTGGGAACAGAAATTGCTAGATAAAAAACTGGTATTGTTTTTGATGGATTATAGGTTATCCAAAGTATATTAAAATGGAGAGATTGAGCTAGATAATTGGAGAAGATGAATAGTAAGAATGATATTGTGTATGAATTATGAGTTAGGAAAAGTTAGGTTTACAAATGGCTCCAAGAGGAGTATAAATAGGGAAATAATGGGCCGGGCCGCTAATATGGGCCCGGTAGCCCAACTACATAAAAGACTAATCTAGTACATAGTTACATACAAATGACATATAAGCAGTACAATAATACAAATGATATCCGTAAGATGTGTGTGGGCCGCTGTCCGGGCCCAATAGTCGTGAGACCCGGGGGTCCGAGTCTATATACTCTATCAGGAGTCCCCCACTCTCTGAGTCGAGAGTATTCGAGACGAAAGAGAGTAGAACTGTGTGCTGATCTGTCGTCGTCTGGTGAATAAACTTCATGAAAAAATTTGAAATTCTGCTTCTTTGGTTAACGGAGGCGCTAAGTCCCCCGCTCTCCCAGTCCCCCACTCCTTGAGGCGAGTGTAATGAGGTGAAGAGGAGTAGAGTAATGCGTGTCGGATGATGTCTTCAACAGGGGGCCGAGGGTTGACACCTTTTGATCCACGATGGGGAGATGCCTCGTTAAAAACCTCATTAGGAAAAACCCTGTGGGAAAAAATCCTAATGAGGGAAAAAGAGTACACCGGATGCCCCCAAAATGAAACAAAAGGTGTGAACCCTTCGGCCTGGAGATGGAGCTGCAACGGTGCCCGTCTGCTGGGGCGATGGTCGAGGCCGATCTCTAGATGTGGGTAGCTCATCATGATCAGTAGTCCTAGTCATCAAATAAAGATGACTAAGGGATGGGTCGAGCGACCGTCCACAATATGATGTCTGGTTCATCAAATAAAGATGACCAGAACGTAAGGCCGATGGGCCGAGAGGCCTGTACGAGAGCTCCACGTCGTCAAATAAAGACGACGGGGCGATGGTGCGGCCGAGGGGCCTGCATAAGAGCTCCACGTCGTCAAATAAAGACGACGGGGCGATGGCGCGGCCGAGGGGCCTGCAGAAGAGCTCCACGTCGTCAAATAAAGACGACGGGGCGATGGGGCGGCCGAGGGGCCTGCATAAGAGCTCCACGTCGTCAAATAAAGACGACGGGGCGATGGTGCGGCCGAGGGGCCTGCATAAGAGCTCCACGTCGTCAAATAAAGACGACGGGGCGATGGTGCGGTCGAGGGGCCTGCATAAGAGCTCCACGTCGTCAAATAAAGACGACGGGGTGATGGTGCGGCCGAGGGGCCTGCATAAGAGCTCCACGTCGTCAAATAAAGACGACGAGGCGATGGTGCGGCCGAGGGGCCTGCATAAGAGCTCCACGTCGTCAAATAAAGACGACGAGGCGATGGTGTGGCCGAGGGGCCTGCATAAGAGCTCCACGTCGTCAAATAAAGATGACGTGGCGACGTATGGCCGAGAGGCCTACATGAGAGCCCCACATCATCAAATAAAGATGACGGGGTGATGTATGGCTCAGAGGCCTATATGCGAGCGCCATGTCATCAAATAAAGATGACGGAGCGAGATATGGCCGATGGGCCTGTAAATGAGCTTCGCGTCATCAAATAAAGATGACGAGGCGATATATGCCCGATGGGTCTGCAACTGAGCTTCGCGTCATCAAATAAAGATGATGGAGCAAGATGTGGCTCAGAGGCCTACAAATGAGTTCCTCGTCATCAAATAAGGATGACAGAACGATATATGGCCGATGGTCCTGTAGATGAGCTCTTCGTCATTAAATAAAGATGACAGAGCGATATATGGCCGATGGGCCTACAAATGAGCTCTTCATCATCAAATAAAGATGACAGAGCGATATATGGTCGATGGGCCTACAAATGAGCTTCTTCATCATCAAATAAAGATGACAGAGCGATATATGGCCGATGGGCCTACAAATGAGCTCTTCATCATCAAATAAAGATGACAGAGCGATATATGGCCGATTGGCCTGCAAATGAGCTTCGCGTCATCAAATAAAGATGACGGAGCGATATATGGCTGAACTCTGGGCTCCTTTAGCCTTTCGGCCGGAGACCGCAAGATGTTCGCTATATCTAAATAGGGGGACGAGGCGGTGGACGCCTGTCTGAATATGAGGACGACGACGCTGATGAGTCGGTCCGAATATGAGGACGACAGCGCTGACGAACCGGTCCGAATATGGGGACGAGGCGATGATAAGCCATGCGTCATATGAGGGCGACGGTCACCTTCCAGGAAGGGAATGGCGAGCCTGGTCGCTAGATAAGGACTTCGGCGCTGGGGCCGGTCTAAATGTGAGGACGAGGCGATGATGAGCCGTGCGTCATATAGGGGCGACGGTCGCCATCCGGGAAGGGATGGCGAGCCCAATCGCTATAACAAGACTTCGGCGCTGGGAGCCGTTCTTGAGATAAATAATCACGTCGCGGCCGAGAGGCTGATCGCGATGTGCGGATGACAATGATGAGGAGCCAGTCCGAAATATGATGACGAGGCGATGATGGAGCCGATCGTCATATAGAGGCGATAGTCACCATCCAGGAGGGGATGGCGAGCCTGATCGCTAGCCCAACACACTCGGCACTGATGAAGCCGATGTTGGGATAGGGTGTGACGTCGTGGCCGAGGGGCCGATCGTGATGTGAGGTCGTCAGCACTATGAGGCTGATCCAAAAGTCCAAGCAGCGGTCGCCATCCGATGAAGGAATGACTGAGACCGGTCTTGGGGATAGATAATCACGCCGAGGCCGAGGGGCCGATCGTGATGTGCGGACGGAGATGATGAGTCGATCCGATAATATGATGACGAGGCAAGAATGAAGCCAATCGTCATATAAGGGCGATGGTCACCATCCAGGAAGGGATGGCGAGCCCGATTGCTAGCTCAAGACTCTCGGCGCTGAGGAAGCCGGTCTTGAGATAGATAGTCACGCCGAGGCCGAGGGGCCGGTCGTGATGCGCGGATGGCGATGAAAAGAGCCAATCCGAAATATGATGACGGGGCAATGATGAGCCGGCCGTCATATAGAGGCGATGGCCACCATCCAGGAAGGGATGGTGAACCCAGTCGCTAGCTCAAGATCGCGTTGAGACCGAGGGGTCAGCCGCGATGTGAGCATGACGGCGATGATGAGCCGTTCCAATAAATGATGACGAGGCCATGATGGGCCAATCGTCATATAAAGGCGACAGTCACCATCCAGGAAGGGATGGTGAGCCCGATCGCCAGCTCAAGACTCTCGGCGCTGAGGAAGCCGGTCTTGAGATAGATAATCACGCCGAGGCCGAGGGGCCGGGCATGATGTGAGGACAACGGCGATGAGGGGCCGGTCCAAAAATCCATGCAACGGTCGTCACTCGGTAAAGGAATGACTAAGACCGATCTCGAGATAAATAATCACGTCGAGGCCGAGGGGGTCGATCGTGATATGAGGACGACGACGATGAGGAGTCGGTCCAAATAATGATGACGAGGCGATGGTGAAGCCGATCGTCATATAGAGGCGATGGTCACCATCCGGGAAGAGATGATGAGCCCGATCGCCAGCTCAAGACTCTCGGCGCTGAGGAAGCCGGTCTTGAGATAGATGATCACGCCGAGGCCGAGGGGACGGTCGTGATGTGAGGACAACGACGATGAGGAGTCGGTCCAATAATGATGACGAGGCGCTGGTGAAGCCGATCGTCATATAGAGGCGATGGTCACCATCCGGGAAGGGATGGCGAGCCCGATCGCTAGCTCAAGACTCGCGGTGCTGAGGAGGCCGGTCTTGAGATAGATGATCACGCCGAGGCCGAGGGGCCGGCCGTGATGTGAGGACAACGGCGATGAGGAGCCGGTCCTATAATATGATGACGAGGCGCTGATGAAGCCGATCGTCATATAAAGGCGATGGTCACCATCCGGGAAGGGATGGCGAGCCCGATCGCTAGCTCAAGACTCGCGGCGCTGAGGAAGCCGGTCTTGAGATAGATAATCACGCTGAGGCCGAGGGGGTCGGTCGTGATATGAGGACGATGACGATGAGGAGTCGATCCTATAATATGATGACGAGGCGCTGATGAAGCCGATCGTCATATAAAGGCGATGGTCACCATCCGGGAAGGGATGGCGAGCCCGATCGCTGGCTCAAGACTCGCGGCGCTGAGGAAGCCGGTCTTTAGATAGATGATCACGCCGAGCCCGAGGGGCCGACCGTGATGTGAGGACAACGGCGATGAGGAGGCGGTCTTATAATATGATGATGAGGCGCTGATGAAGCCGATCGTCATATAAAGGCGATGGTCACCATCCGGGAAGGGATGGCGAGCACGATCGCCAGCTCAAGACTCGCGGCGCTGAGGAGCCGGTCCTATAATATGATGCTGAGGCGCTGATGAAGCCGATCGTCATATAAAGGCGATGGTCACCATCCGGGAAGGGATGGCGAGCCCGATCGCCAGCTCAAGACTCGCGGCGCTGAGGAAGCCGGTCTTGAGATGATGGACGGCGCTGGGCGCTCGTCTGAGAATGAGGGACGGCGCTGGGCGCTCGTCTGAGATGATGGACGGCGTTGTGCGCTCGTCTGAGATGATGGACGGCGCTGGGCGCTCGTCTGAGATGAGGGACGGCGCTGGGCGCTCGTCTGAAAATGAGGGACGGCGCTGGGCGCTCGTCTGAAAATGAGGGACGACGCTGGGCGCTCATCTAAGAATGAAGGACGGCGCAGGGCGCTCGTCTAAAAATGAGGGACGGCGCTGGGCGCTGGGCTAAGATGAAGGACGGCGCTGGGCGCTCGTCTGAAAATGAGGGACGGCGCTGGGCGCTCGTCTACAAATGGAGGACGGCGTTGGGCGCTCGTCTAAGATGAGGGACGGCGCTCGGCGCTCGTCTGAAAATGATGGACGGCGCTGGGCGCTCGTCTAAAAACTGAAGGACGGCGCTGGGCGCTCGTCTGAAAATGAGAGACGGCGCTGGGCGCTCGTCTACAAATGGAGGACGGCGCTGGGCGCTCGTATAAGATGAGGGACGGCGCTGGGCGCTCGTGTAAAAAATGAAGGACGGCGCTGGGCGCTCGTCTAACAAATGATGGACGGCGCTGGGCGCTCGTCTGAAGATGAAGGACGGCGCTGGGCGCGCGTCTACAAATGGAGGACGGCGCTGGGCGCTCGTCTAAGATGATGGACGGCGCTGGGCGCTCGTTTACAAATGGAGGATGGCGCTGGGCGCTCGTCTAAGATGATGGACGGCGCTGGGCGCTCGTCTGAAAATGAGGGACGGCGCTGGGCGCTCGTCTACAAATAAAGGACGGCGCAGGGCGCTCGTCTAAGATGATGGACGGTGTTGGGCGCTCGTCTAAGATGATGGACGGCGCTGGGCGCTCGTCTGAAAATGAGGGACGGCGCTGGGCGCTCGTCTGAAAATGAGGGACGACGCTGGGCGCTCGTCTAAGAATGAAGGACGGCGCAGGGCGCTCGTCTAAAAATGAGGGACGGTGATGGGCGCTCGTCTAAGATGAAGAACGGCGCTGGGTGCTCGTCTGAAAATGAGGGACGGCGCTGGGCGCTCGTCTACAAATGGAGGACGGCGTTGGGCGCTCGTCTAAGATGAGGGACGGCGCTGGGCGCTCGTCTGAAAATGATGGACGGCGCTGGGCGCTCGTCTAAAAACTGAAGGACGGCGCTGGGCGCTCGTCTGAAAATGAGGGACGGCGCTGGGCGCTCGTCTACAAATGGAGGACGGCGCTGGGCGCTCGTCTAAGATGATGGACGGCGCTGGGCGCTCGTCTAAGATGATGGACGGCGCTGGGCGCTCGTCTGAAAATGAGGGACGGCGCTGGGCGCTCGTCTACAAATTAAGGACGGCGCAGGGCGCTCGTCTAAAAATGAGGGACGGCGCTGGGCGCTCGTCTAAGAATGAAGGACGGCGCAGGGCGCTCGTCTAGTATTTGCCTGATATGTACTTAGTATTGTTGTGGGGATTTCATGTTTTGTTGCTCGAGGCCGGCGAGTGCACGCGGTCCTCGGCTTCCCTCTTTTATTTTTTGTTTTTCCTTTTCTCTTTTTTTTTTATTTATTTCCGTTTCCGTTCCCTATTTCGGGGAGTATCCTTCTTTCAGGCTTCGGCCAAAGGGTGTGCTCGTCCTTCGACCGGTTCAGACTTCGTTTATAACGTCCGTGATCTCAGGGGGGTCCCGTCGCCTATTTATGACGCGGGCTAGACTTTTGGTTGGTTTCCAACGGCTGCCGTTGCCCAACCCTGAGTGGGGGGATTTTGCCACCTCGGCCATGATTTCAGGCCTGTCGTCCTGCGATCTGGTGCGTGGACGACGCGGTGAACTTCCCATTTCAAGACGCGGGCCGTTTGCGGGCCCCTCGTCCTGGGGACATCGTCGGCCATACCTGAGCGTTTCACTCTAGGCTTACGGGGCCAGGACGATGTGCTCTCTCAGCTAGGCCTGAGCCCTTCGCTGATACAAAATACAAAGTGGAGCAGACCAGAGCCTTTCGCTCGAAGGCTGCTGATACGACATGTGGTATCTTCTATTTACATTTCCAAAAAATAAGCGGAATACAATAGGTGCGTTGTTCATGGCAACGGCTTTTGGGCGACGCGATTAGCGTCTCGGAGAACGAGGTGTACCGTTTACCGCTCTCGGGCATAATGCCATGTGCGGCCGGTAGCGACTCTCATTTTTAGATGTCCGAGCAACCAAATAAAGGTGACTAGGGTAGGTCGATGGACCTAAATATAATCCGAATCATCAAATAAAGATGTTCGGTAGACTAGAGCTCGGGTTCACCACTTTGGGTTTTTTTGACCCGGTCTAATGACATTGATAAAAATAATAATGCCAATAATAAATTTTCATTAGCGACCTCGGGAAATTTTAATCCCTCATAAAGGTCTTCACCACCTCGGGGGTTTTTAACCCGCCATAATGGTGGTGAAATAATATAATTAATAATAGTAATAATTATACCATTATCATTTAATAAATATTTTAAGTGCATAAATAGGAGTATTGGGTTGCTTGGATACTTAGCTCATATTTGGGCCAGAATATTGTGGGCTGATAATTGAGAGCTGATGAAGAAATTAGGCCCTTGAAACAACTTGTGTAGAGATACTCCAGCCCATTCTTTTCCACTTGGTCCAGAAATGTTTGCGATCAGAAGGAAAAGGCGATCAGAAGGAAAGAACTTATGCAGAGATATTCCAGCCCATTCTTTTCCACTTGGTCCAGAAACTCCCTTGACCTATCCTCTGTTAATGGCCAGCCACTGCCGCCGGGTATGGAGACCAAAGAGAGACTATCAGAAGGAAAAGGCGAGGCAAACCGGTCGCGGTCCCTGTTGGAGAGGAAGTACGAATCCTCGATGTCGCTTCTGCTCAGGTCGCGAGCAAAGCTCTGAAACGGCCATTAATGGCGGAAGCTCACAGCACGGTTCAGCACCCTCAGACGCGACTGCCGCTTTTTAGCTTTTGCGGTAGCTCACACGGTTCAAGTTCGAGCTGCGAAGGAGGCGGAATAGCGAGGTAGTTCAGCGATTGGCGAGCTGCTGCGGTGGGGTGCCTCGAGCTTCCACCGATACTGGCAAGCTGTGGGCGTTGGGAGCTCCATTGTCGAGGCGAGATTCTGAACAGACCTGGTTGTGGAGGAGAAGAACGGCGCACGGTTGTTCTAGAGCCAAAGATGCAGACCCTTTTTTTTGATAATAATTCCAAGAATGTTTATTGATTTCTTTTGATTGGAATGAATTTTTTGTATGATTTTGGGAGGATTTCTCACTTGATTTTGCTCTAATCTCTCAACGAGAGCACCATTGATGGATTATAGGTTATCCAAAGTATATTAAAATGGAGAGATTGAGCTAGATAATTGGAGAAGATGAATAGTAAGAATGATATTGTGTATGAATTATGAGTTAGGAAAAGTTAGGTTTACAAATGGCTCCAAGAGGAGTATAAATAGGGAAATAATGGGCCGGGCCGCTAATATGGGCCCGGTAGCCCAACTACATAAAAGACTAATCTAGTACATAGTTACATACAAATGACATATAAGCAGTACAATAATACAAATGATATCCGTAAGATGTGTGTGGGCCGCTGTCCGGGCTCAATAGTCGTGAGACCCGGGGGTCCGAGTCTATATACTCTATCAGTTTTAAATCAAAGAAAATATACTCTTGATATTCTTTCTGATTTTGGGTATCTTTCATCCAAACTTTTTTCTACACCTATGGATTCAAAAATTAAACTCTCAAAAAATGATGACACTGTTTTAAGTGATCCTAAAACCTATAGGACTTTAATTGGCAGATTGTTATACCTTACTGTAACCAGACCTGATATAGCTTATTCTGTCCAAACACTTAGTCAGTTTTTATCTTCTCCTACTGACATTCATATGGCTGCAGCTCATAGAGTCCTTAGATATCTTAAAAGCTCTCCAGGTAAAGGACTTTTTTATTCCTCCAAATCTTCTTTCACTATTCAAGCATATACTGATTCTGATTGGGGATCCTGTGTTGATACTAGGAGAAGTATTTCTGGTTATTGTTTTTATCTTGGTGATTCTTTAGTTTCTTGGAAATCCAAGAAATAATCTGTTATCAGTAGGTCCTCTACTGAAGCAGAATACAGGGCTGCAGCCAATGCAGTCTGTGAAGCCCAATGGCTTGTTTATATTCTTCAGGATTTACATATTCATAATTCCTTACCTATTACATTATATACTGATAACAAATCTACATATCATTTAGCATATAATCCAATACAACATCAAAGAACTAAACACATAGAACTGGATTGTCATTTAATAAGGGAAAAGATTAATTCTGGACTCATAAATCTTACTCATATCCCTAATATTTATCAACTTGCAGATATCTACACAAAACCACTTGGAAATCCTCTCTTCAAGCAGTTTGCAGACAAGATGAACATGCTGGACATTCATGCTCATCTTGAGGGGGCGTCTCAAGAATAAATAATTGGGCTTATTCTTATTGGGCTTAAAACTGTATTGGATTGTTATATTATTTTAGCCTGTTAGCCCTTTAGTATAAATAGATTACTTTAACCTACTGTAAACATACGATTCATTTTTCTCCTTCTTCGTAATACAACTTCTTCCGCTTTCTTCAATTTCTGCATTCGTTTAAGCTTTCACAAAATTCATTCCCAAAGTTCCTTTGCCTCGAATTTTTTTTAGCACATAGTTATAATAAGAATTTGTGCCAATGTGTTATAAGTTATGTCAAAACAAATATTCTTTTTTGTATTGAAATGTGTAAAAATTTAGATATGTGAAATGATCTATTAAAATTGAGTTGCATACTTGCCTCAAAGATAGGAAGAATGATATGAATTGAACTTGACTTTCGAATAGTGGTAGTGTCATATATATTTCAACCAGTACAAACAAAATTTGTTCAACACATTATACGGTTCTAGTTTTGAATGATAACTTAGATAAAAATGATATAGTTCAATTCTTGTTGGTGTACACATAACGTGTTACTTTGTAATTTTATTTGTAGTTCTGTTTTTCTTAGGTAACTATAGTAACTGAAGTTTAATATTTACACGCGAATAATTATAAAAATTATTCTAATAACTATTAATCATATTTTTGTAAACAATTTTAATTTAAATAATACTCCCTCTGTGTCTTTGGATTTTGCAAACTTTCCTTTTTTTGTTGTCCCAAAAAACTTTGTCACTTTTCTATTGAAGTAACTATTTTGTAGTTCTGCTCATATTTCTCCCCTTTGCACAAACTTTAACAGCACAGTTTTTATTATTCTTATTTCTCACTGTTGAATATGAGCAGAAGTCAGAACCATACATTAGTTCTATTCTATGCGAATGATTGTTGCGCATAATGAATAAATGAATTGATATGTGATTACATGATAATGCCTTATCTATGAACCTAGATTGATATCATGCTCTAAACGTACGTGGCACAATATCTTTCCATACATGATTGAACACCCCAATTAAATTAGTTGACCTATATAGCTTAATACGTTATTGAAAGTATCATTGTTTGAGTTAAATGAATACCCTGCTACCTTTATAGTAGTTGACCGTAGCACATTTTAATTTGCTAAATAAATATTTCATTGCCATATGATTTTGAAAAGTCATCCTTAGTTAAAATATTAAATGAATATTTTTTGGAAAGAATCTTGGCTTGCGTGTACATGATTGCATTATTCATATTTGAAGTTGTCCATAGTACCTTATTAAAATATCATTTTGCTATGGACTGTTGCATATTCAAATATGTTAAGGGAACAAATTATTGATTGCTAATTGAGTGTTCGTTCACACACACACACACACAGATATATATATATATATATATATATATATATATATATATATATATATATATATATATATATATATATATATATATATATATATATATATATATCTTTCTAACTCACTCATTGTTATTCCCTGTTTCCGTAACAGCAATGAATAATCGATCTAACAAGGAAGATTAAACGTAAAGATGAACACAGAATGAATCACCGCAAAACCTTCTTTGATAAACCGTGGACACGTACAACAGAATGATATGCGTAAGGCTATGAATAATAAGTACGACGTTCAACCTATTCCTAAACCTCGGTTCCCTTTTTATAGGCGAGATTTAGGTTAGGCGTACCAGGCTTTTAGCCTGTTTATATGGGCCTAACACTTGGCCTGATTTCTATCTAATTCATGCACTAATTAAATACAAGGATTAAATATAAAGCTAATCTATGACCAACTTGATTCACAATTAAATATCTCCAACAATCTCCCCCTTTGTGATCAAGTGCCATTCTCTTATTGCTTCTGAGACTTGAAGTAGTGCTTCCTCATACCAAGTGCATGTTCATACTGCCTCAGTACATTTCTCTTTTCGAGGCGATCGTCAATGGCCTTTAAAATTGTCTCTACAGTAGAGTGTTCCTTTTGAATATAAGACGATGCCTCTTGAAGATTTTCCTCTAGCTTTGCCTTCATCTTTAGAATCTGCTCTTTGATTATCTTCAGTGTTCCGTCACAGTACTTCTCAATCTCACTGACTACCATCAAACGTTTTTCGTTTTTGTGGTTCAGATAGGTGACTGCTGGCGGTGTGAAGAAGATGTGGTAGGCTGGGAAATCTTCAAGTTCTGGACCATACAGTCTTGGCTTTGTCAGATTTGTCTTTTTCAGATTGCACTCAATAGCCATCTGTAGGTCGTGTGAAGAGTGTACTCGAATTTGTCTAAGCATGAATCTCTTGATAGCTGCGAGGCCTTCGCTGTATATTATGTTCTGCCTGACTGGAAGGTATCTGTAGGCCATGAACATTTGGTAGATGTCATCCGGTTTCAGCATGATGAAGTCGTTCTCTTGACAAGTAAATTCGCTCCCATCGGTGCATTGAAGTCTGTAAGTGTAAAATGTTACTCCATGATAGTCTTCAGCCTTCACTTGCAGAATTTGATGAATCGGGAGAATATTCGACTTCAGATCTTGTTCCATCAGTTCTCTCTGTGTACCGGTTGACCTTTGTAGCAACATATGCAGATGACCTCCAACCTGCTTTCCTTTCAAGTGAGTAAGGCCTCTTAGCTTCAGTTCATTCAGTGGCTTGACTCTGTCTGGTCTACGCCAGATATGCTCTCTGATTTCTTCTTGGAAGGGGGCTTTGATGCGAACATTATCCCAGGGTTTCTCTGTCTTGGGAAGTCTTCTCGCTGTTTGTCTTACAACCGATTCAAGAGTCTTCTGGGATTCTTTGTAATTCTCCCCTTCCTTGCGTTCATCATCCTCGAGCCTTATAATATCTTCAGAGCATTTGTTGATTACCTCTCGTAGCCACCAGTTTCTTTGCATGTCCTCTTGTTCGGCTTCAACCCGAAGATCATCCCATTCTGTCCATTTTCTTGGCCATTTGTCATATATCACCGCCTCTTCCAGTGCATCATGGATGTCTTTGCCTGGGGAAATATATGGAATTTTTTGTTCAGGCGGTGATTGTTCCTGTGTAGCACTACCGAGTTCACTAGGATTGCTCGTTGACATCAGCTTAGAACTGGGTTCCAACTGATGGACTGATGGAGAAGATGTACCAGTGGTAACATCATCAGGACTTCCATCCCCTCCTCGGTTGGTATCTCTGGGAGATACGCCTCGGGATGTTATTTCTAGCTCGACCATGCTATATAGTTTGGCTGTGGATGGTGGCTGTTGGTTTGTTGAGGTTTCAGGTTGGATTGGCTGTGGAGTTTGGCTTGGTAGAGCAGTTTGCTCAAGTGATCGAGGTCGCTTGTTCTCCCCCTCATGAGGATCCGAATCATCGGGGTCCTCATGGGAACGTTTGCGACCACGAAGACTCTCCTTGCAAGTGCTCTTGGTTTCGGGTGAAGAGAGAATGGCTTCAAGTATGGCTTGCTGATGAAGAGTGAGGTTGTCTTCTGGGGTATTTAAGAGGTTGTTCAGCAAAGCCGAAGCTAGTGTGTCAAAGGATAGTGAGGAGAGATCGATGGAGGGTGTGGTCGGGTGTGGGGAGAATACTGGTTCTGTATCCTGGGTTCCCCGAGAAATAGAAGGGATGGGAATTTGGTTTATGGATTGGTGGGATAGAGGAGTGGAGGATATGGGTTGTGTATGGGAGATGAACGGTTCAGGGGAAGGTTGGGGTGGTGTTTGTTCAGACCGAACCGCTTGGGTGGTCCTAAATTCCTGTGCTAGAGCGGTCATTGCATCTTGCACCCATGGCTTAATGGTGGAATCCAGGAAGCGATTGAGTAGAACGTTTACGTCTTCAAAGGTAGGGTGACCAGTTACGGGGGTTGTAACTGTTGACACAGCATCAGTGAAAATTGCTGATGTGTGGCCTGCATTTAATGATGGAATCATTATGGGCGTAGCAGGGCTTCCAACCGTCATAGCTTGCGCTCTGGTTGTTGCGTTCAGGGTGAGTGCACCTGTATGTGCAGTGAATAGTGTAGGTGTCCTAGAAAAGGAAGAAAATGTGGGGAATGTGACACCTAGACTCGATGTGTGAGAAGAAGGGGTTTTGACCTCGGGAGATAGGTCAATTGTATGC